AAATTTTGAATTTTTGTGTTAAATTTGGCACTAATTTTTGTATTTTTGTATTAAATTTGGTAATAATTTTTGCACTTTTTCTTTTAAATTTGGTATTAACTTTGCATTTTTTTGGTAGTAACTTTTTCTTTTAATTTTGGTAATAACTTGTCTGATTCTAATTACTAAAATCTTGAAAAAACCGCCCGAGAATCCCGCGCAAAATTTGATATTTATGATGTTACTAGGATTCTCCCACACGCCAAGTGCACCTCTTCCAAGCCCTTCGGTCCTGAGCTGCATACCTACAGTTAGTACTCACCGTCTGTTCGGCAGAATTGCGCGGAATTGCTCGATTTCGCTCGTAACAATCGCTAATCCACAGCATCGTTTGGTTGCATTTTTGCCAGTAAACAATCCAAGTGTTGTAAAAATTTTAGAGCCACAAATAATGGATATCCCGGGCTAGGATGAGATTGGAAGAGGCTGGAGGGCCTGAAATCGTCTATGTGTCAGCATATTGTAATTTTAATTTTAGGTGATGTGTGTTTATGTAAAAAGTAAGGGTTAAAAACAAAGGAATAAAAGGAAGGTGAATAAGATAAATCGGATTAAGAAATCTGAATAGGAATGTTTCGATCCATTAAGTCACATACATTCCTGTTCAGTGCTGCAACTGGACCTCGTATATATATATATATGCAGTTTGTTTGGCGTTGCTGGCCCACTACTGTGAAGAGGACGAATTTTGATAATTAATATGAAAACACGCTGGAAATAGTGCCATTTAGAACTCCCAAATAAGCAAGCCTGTATGCACTAACTCGGAGGAAATCATTTTTCTCACGTGTTTTTCAGGAGTTACATTCCGGAATGGGAAACGCCGAAGTTTCGTTTGGTCTCGAAACACTGGAAGCTTCTGTGGGATTCCGTGAAACGCTTTCGCAAACGAATCAACAAACTCTCCATTGAGCAGAACGATGGAAAGGTAGCTTCTAAGTTATTTCTTGATCAATATTTTCGAATTGAATATTTGGATTTTCAAAATTTTTTGGAGAGCAGAGTCGGCTTTTAAAACAGTTTCGGGATAGGGATAAATTATTTTATTACTACAATCGTCGTACTGACGAGATCCAGTTGTGGTAACGGTAAAAAATATATACGACTTAATGGACCGAAACATTTCTTACCTATAACA